GCTCCACAAGAACCACCAGAACCTTTCCAAAAATGCTCTGTGTAGTATTGATGTGAATGGGCGCCATTTAAGAGTCATGTGATTTTTCCACTGGCGTGCAGCGTGGTAAGACGCAGGGAGAATCGTGCTGGTGTTAACAGGGAACCGCTTCAGCACCAGTTTAGCCATGCTAAACACCAATCTTGGTTGCAGTGCGCACTGTCCCTTTAAACAAGCTGCTAGCGGGCTTGCAATGAGCTTCAACTAGCGCCTAGGACTGCAGGTGACCTATTTAAAGGGACAGTCCACTCTCCTATTGAACATACCCAAACTAGAGCTGAATGTTGAACATCAATCTTGGAGAGCATACTGTCCCTTTAAGTGAGCTGCTAGCTGGTTTTCAACAAGCTTCAGCAGCTTATTTAAAGGGACAGTCGATGCTGCCATTGAACATTACCAAGCTGGAACTGAAGGGTGCTTAAAAGGCTTTATTAAAGCTCACTGCAAGCTCTGAAAATGCTTTATAAAACCTTGCTGTGCACAAGGCTATGTGAACGTGCACTTGTAGTCTTCAGTGGCATTTTTTTTTTGGGGGGGGGGATTGAGCGCATTATCTTTTTGGGGGGGGGGGTCTGACAAATTCTAACAGGAGCGCAGTGCTGATGGTGTACCTTTAAGCAGAGTATCCTCAGGCCTTCCAGTAAGTAGTGCTGAAGCCGGCTTGCTTGCAGTTTATTTAAAGGGACAGTCAGCGCTCCCCTTATGATCTGTCTGACATCTCCAATGCGGAGCTGAAGGTTGCTTCAAGGGCTTCAAATGACTTTCTTGATGTCTGAAAGCTTTATAAACGCATTGTACAATCGTTCTCTACGCATGACTCCCATGATAATAAGGCCTCTGCGGGGCGTTCACAGCAGGGGCCACACGTGACACACTGGTATGCATTGTGCGCACTGCCGTGACTTGTTACATTGTATCCCTGTGTGTACACTTTCATTTTGTTACATTTTACAAGAGTTACAAAACCCTTCACCTCTGCGCACAATGGCGCGCTGTGATATGCTGATGTGCGTTGTACTGTTCGTGTGTCGCAGAAAAAGGCGGACAATCATGCTGCCTTTTTATGGAACGCACGTGAGCGCACTTGTATGATGTGAGCCGGGAACATGGGGGGGGGAATTGCTTTGTGTACTTGTGCTGATCAAAGTGGACAAATGCAGTTCGATGCTCCTGGTAAGCCCCGCCCCCAAGTGTCCGAAGGTTTCCATTTTGGACGGAGTAGCGAATGGTGAAATTTCCCGGCAGGTTTTTGAGGATTTGTTTGCCAATTGGGGAGACTTTCCTCCATTTCCTGTCCTATAGTTGGAACAGGAAGTGAGGAATGTGTCACCACTGGGATATTTTCTCAGTTCCTGTTCTGGTGACAACTCAATGTTTTCCCTCCCATTTTAGTTCCTGGCAGTGGTCACCAGGAAAAGCAAAAGGGGGCAAAGATGAGAGGGTCTAACCCTTCTCTACTTCATCTCCCTCTCTAGTTCAAGCCATATTTGTCCAGCCGGGCCCACTTCCCAGGCTTGGTGGCAAAAGCTGCAATAGCCTGTGCCCCCAACACACTGATCACGGGTGCGATGCTCTGCAGACGTCGCTGCAATCAGTGAATGCACATTGGTGATTTTACTAATTTTTGCAAAAGGTGGAGTGCGCCTTTTTAAGATTTACATCCCTAAGACAGGGTGAGGAGGAAGACAGGGTGAGGAGGAAGACAGGGTGAGGAGGAAGACAGGGTGAGGAGGAAGACAGGGTGAGGAGGAAGTGTTTCCAACCTCTGTCAGGTGTTTGTGGTCTCTGTATCTACAGAGCTCCACCTCTCCTTGTCCTGGTGACAGGAAGTGGGTAAAAATCACCTCATTAGAGATTTA